TACCATCTTGCCATTTCTCTCCCCCACTATAGCACCATGGAATCACGAGAGGACTGGCCCACCTGTTCAATATTCTAACATTTTGAGGGGCTGCCTGAGGGATTGGTTCTGTCTTGCCTGAGTTTTGCTCCAGGTTGGGAGCCACTGAGAACAAAAGTTATGGCTTGGGCCTGCATGCACTCACTGGCCATCGACCTTTTTCCAAGTTAGCACAGACTAAGTAACCCAAATCCTGGCTTCTCCCCAAGAAGGGGAAAAATTGGAGCATTTGTCCAACATTCCAGCCTTTTAGGTGTTACACGAGGGACTGGCTTCTATGTCAGAAATTACTCTCTGGTAATCAACTAGGTTAAAAAATAAAACAATCACAGCAACACAACTACCATGAGTTTTATCCCCAAGGGAAGAGCACAAACCTGGTGGTTTAAAAAAAAAATCTCTCATTGCACTTTCTCAGAAAGCATGGATAGTCAACTTAAATGGAGATTATAGGAAACAGGATTTAACCTAATAGGGAATCCCTAGGATGGTGGTGAAGGGGGGATCCTAGGATGATAGCTGTCAACTAATTCAGCCAGAAGCAAGTCAGATATTCCAACTGAAGATTTGTCATGAAGATTAAACTGATAAGATACTTTGTGTGTTTGAAAGTCTTAAGAGATTTACATAAAGATAAAGTTTGGATTTGAAAGGGGGGGAGGAGGGGGAGGAGGAGAGAGAGGAGGAGGAAAGACAAGACTACACACCTTCCCCAAACTCAACTGCTTATAAGAGCAAGACCTGCATATAGAACACACATTGTGGGACTGGTTTCATTATATCTGGAGATCCTGACTCACCAAAAAGCACACTGTGTTGTGGGCTTCAGCTGAGAAGACAGTCCCAAGTATTGCATAGCGAATTCTGTTTGCAGGAGACTAAGGTAAAGGACAGCTTCCCACTTAGTTATTTCCCTACCTGGCTCTGCAGTCCACTAGGCAGGGATGGTGAACAGACACAGGGAGAGACACCAATCAGCTCTCCCGTGTCTCAGTGATCCCTTATAACACCTCACTGGAATGGGCCACTCCTTCTTAGCTCACCAGAACCTTCTTCACCCAATCAGCGATCACCTAGTAGTCAAGGGATGGAGGTTCCAGAGGGAGGTGCTGAATCAGGCCCCTCCTCTGGCTGCCATTTCCAGGGTAGAGAAAATGAACAGCAATTGGAGTCAGATGCTCTACAGCTCCTGCAGCAGAGCAGGAGAAAATCATTATGATCAGTTCTTAATTTAACGGCAGGAATGGAGGAGGAGGCATTGGCATGGATGACTGAAAAGTACCAGACAAGACAAGCCCCACTGAGGGTTCTGAGTGAAAAGAATGAGTGAAAGAGTCGGTTTTAAAATAAGAGTTTATTACTATTGAGGCCAACAAGTCAGAACACCATTGAAACAAAGTCTTATTTCTCCTTTCTTTAGAGGAGGGTTATATGTTGCCATTGGGACACATGGCGAGGCCCCAAGGTTGATCAGGAGACAGGGGGCATGAGAGGGAATGTAGGCAAGAGCCTTTACTGTGGTTTCCACAGGAAAAACATGGGTGAGGCAGAAGAGTGGGCTTAGGATGGACTAGTTAGAGTAATTTCAGCATGCTCTGTGTCTCAGGGACTGGCCCTGGATGTCTGGAGTGCCTGGAGCAGTGGTAAGTGGCCCTGAACATAGAGCTCCATACAGGAAGCTGCTGGGCATGTGGGCTATGGATTAGCTGGTGTATATGTACAAGCTGCATTCACAGGCAAGTTATTTGCTATCTCTTGGAATTAGCTAACTCTAGGATGGGCAGTCTTTCTCCAATGAAACCCCACAATGTCAAAACATCAAAAATATAGGGTAAAAAGAAACGATTGCCTAAACCGGTTTGGCTCAATGGATAGAGCGTCAGCTTGGGGACTGAAGAGTCCCGGGTTCGATTCCAGTCAGGGGCATGTACCTTGGTTGCGGGCATATCCCCAGTAGGGGGTGTGCAAGAGGCAGCTGATCGATGACTCTCTCATCGATGTTTCTATCTCTCTATCTCTCTACCTTCCTCTCTGTACAAAATCAATAAAATATATTTTTTTAAAAAGAAATAATTAACACAGCATTCCTTTTCTCCGGCTTTTAAAGATTTCATATATAGGTGAGATCACGCAGTATTTCTCTTTGTTTGGCTTACTTAACTTAGCATGAAGCCTTCAGGGTCTATCCATGTTGTTACAAATAGAAAAATTTCTTCTTTGTGGTTGAATAATATCCCATTGTGTATATCCCACATCATCTAGACCTATTCATCCACTGACAGACATATAAGTTGTTTTCATATCTTGGCCATGTAATGTTCTCTATTTTTGACAGTGTTTGTAGTTTTGGTAAGCCTAAAATATTTTGTAATTTAAAATTGGAAATTTAAAAAAATTAACTTAGCAATACAACAGTTCAATCCTATTAAAGAAAGAGAAAGAAACATGCCAGTTAAGCACAATATTGATAATGCCTACTTTGGTCTTGCCCTTGAAAGGTGAAGAAAAAATGCAATGTGCACATGCCATCACAAAGTATATAGAATGTGTGTTTTTGAAGAAGAGAGATCTTAATGCTTTAAAATACAGCATGTTTGCAATGATGCTTGGCCAGTTAAAATCGCATGTATATCAGGGAAAAGCTAGTCAAGGCATCTTCCAGAGCACATGTTAGCTGAACGTGTGCTGTCTGCATGATCTGTCTAGGCATATAAAAAAGAGAAAGAAAGAGGGAGATAATAGCACATATTTGGGTATAAATATTCTGATTCTATGGTTGACTTTCACATTCTGTATATATGAGATTTACAGGCAAATCATAGGCCATATGTAAAATTTCAAGAAAGAATAAAGATTTAAAGGTAAGTTTGTTGGCATTGTAGTAATGTCCTTCTGAAGCATTAAAAAATTGAGAGTGGATGCCTACAAGGAATCTAACATGCTAAATGCATACAACTCATGTTTATATAGCTGGAAAGTATTTGCAAGCTTTGTAGTCAATCTATTGGACTTTTTCTTCGTTTTTAAAATTTGTTTCTTACAAAAGTCATGCTGTTCTGTTTCTAATTCATGTGGGAGAGGGAAGGAAGGAAGGAGGCTTCAAATGCTTTAGATGCACAAGATTTGACATAGGCTGCAGGTCACCACTTCCTGGTGGCTTCCCAGCAAATGCCTGGGCCATGACTTCATTGAATTCCAGTTTTTTGTCTGCAAATCTCTCCTTTTGTAAGATTTCCCTTTATCTCTGAAGAGAGGCAGTGAAGTCTGCTTTCTTTCAGGCTGCTTTGATTTTCTCCCAGATCCTCCACACATCAACAGAGCACTCGAGGGGCAGTCCCGTGTGTCTCGCAAACAAAATAAAGAAGAATAGGAAGGGAAAACCAGAATGGAGTTGCTCTATCTTTCATCCACCACCTTTTTAAAGGTCTAGCCTATGATTGATGGTTTACTGTATGATTATGTGTAGAACACTGTTCTAAAGACTTTGGATACTGAAAAAATACATAGTGGAAAGAAAATAAATATCATTTAGGTAATAGAAAAATACACTCACACTTTTTTTTTTTTAATACTAGAATGCAACTCCTTGGATGAGGAGTATAAGAAAAAGGTTGGCATTGAATCCATAAAGAATGATTAATCTTTTTTTCCCACATGACCACAAAGAGGGAAAGGGAACAAACCTCTGTCTTTAGAGGGTCATTGTTTTATGAAACTCTTGTGGGATGGGATTGTCCAACCAAAATCTATTACAGAGGCATGGATCTCCTAGGCACCTATAAATATTTGTCAATGAGGATGGTTAATAGACAAGCCATCTGGTGCCCCCAATCTTCAGAATTCAATAAGGTCTGTATTGTTATTGCTCAAGAGATTTCTGTTGTATAAACTCTGACACTCGGTTTATATGCTGATGGAAGAGGAAGGTCCAAACTAACTCTGAGAGAATTAAAATATGCAGGTGGGGAAAAAAATAAGGAAACCCTCTCCTTTCACAAATGCTCAGTTCCTGGTTAACTTCTCACTGGCAGTCTGCTCACATTTCATTTCCATTAAGAGTATTCCGTTTTCTTTGTCTAAAGTGTTGAGTGGTTATGAATAGTAAGGACAGACTATCTGTAATTATTTTTTAATTATTAATGGTTTTGTTAGATCCTTTCACTTTTACATTACATTTCTGTTAATGTAAGTTAAATCAAAATGTACTTCAGTTGCCAAGCTGTTCCCCAATGTATTTTTCATTCTTTCATAACATTACTTCAGATTTCCACAAGGTATCTATGAGAAAGCTTTTCTTTCTGGAGTCACCGTCACCATGCTAATAAACTCAGGGACTATCCTGTTCTGCCAAATCACTGGCCACACCATTGGTCCTCATCAAATTTCTAAACTCCCCCAAAGTGCCTGATGTCAGCATCACAACAAGTACCAACGTTATTTGATTCGATCTTAGCCAGAATCTTTAGGCTGAACACAGAGCATCTGCTTTAGTTAGTAGTGGCAGAAGAAGGTCCTTGGGCACTTTATAGACATGAAGATTCTTGATTAGAAACCAAAGGACAAAGGGGAAATGAGTGAGTTTGAAAGGAACAGATACCAGAGGAAGAAACTAGTGTCCAGGTCTTGTGGTCCAGCTAAGTAGCCTGAAGAACAGTGTAGGCAGAACAAATGTTCTCATACTGTGCCTTAGGAAGATAATGGCACTTGAAGGGGAGAAAGGACTTCCCTGGAGAGAAGAAAAAAATAAAATAAAATCCACCTTTTAATCAATTTTCCCATCACCAGCAGAATGGCACTTTCCGATGGTGCACCAGTCCCTCAGAGAAATGGCCCTGGCTTGCATTCACTAAGGGGCATGGTTTCAGATCTAGTATGAAACAACTCACACAAATTTAAATAACAGCCCTAGTGAGCTAAATGGAGGGAGACTGGATGAGACTTTTTGGCTGTTTGTTACTTACACAGAGCCGTCAGAGCCAAGGGTTCTTGTACCGTTACAGTTGAGGACTTCTGAAAAGAAACGTTATTACTTCAGCTGTGCACGGTGGAAGAAGAGGGAGCCTAGTGCTAAAGCAAAACTCCTGGCCCGTGTGGGGTACAGCAGTCCCCAAGGAGTCCCCCGGAAGGGAGCCAGACCTTAGTGAAAAGTATAGCGTTAACAAACACTGCATCGAACACAAACGCCACCAAAAATGACTGGATACATTATGCAGAGGGATTTCTGGATTTCTTTCAAGTAATTAAGTTTCGATTTCCTGCATTTATTTTAGTTCCAGGAAGCGCAAGGCGCCAATGGGTTGCAAAATCTTCATTGATTGTTCCGTTGCCTTAACTTGGATTTCGTGACTGGACTTAACTCTGGGAAGAGGTAAACACACGGGCCAGGAAAAGTTACTGCAACAAAAATAACTGTTTTGTCGGGGCAGGTAAACACGGGAGTGCTTGCTTGTAGATGGAACAGTGAGGTCTGTCCCCTCCCTCCAAAAAGACTCAAGAAGGGAGCGGGGGAGCAGGTGTTTGTCCGAGTGGGTGTGCGTGACTGTTAACATGTGTGTGCCTGCGTGCGTGGGTGTGTGCGTGTCTGAGTGTGTCCAGTGCTTCAGGATGTGAATCTGCGTCCTCCCTCCCATCCCTCCCCGCCCCCAGCGTTCTAGGACCAGCGGAGTTGGATACCAAGGACTGAGTCCTTCCCTGAGTCCTCACTGGAGTCCAATCAGCTATGCCCTGCGTGAGGGCTTCTTGCCACAACCAGCTTCAGCAAAAGCTAAGTGGCAGCTCCGCGGGCATTCAGCAGACACAGGCTGGCTGCGTCCTGCGTCCCCCTCCACCCTGTCTGCTTTATCTGAAATTGAACTCTGCTTCCTTCCCTCCACCAGGGACAGAGGGAACGGTTGCTTTTCTTTCTACCTTGCATCTACTCACTCCTTGTCCCTTGCCCTGCCACTTTCCTCAGCCCAGAATTACCCAGGGAGAGCCCCGCGTGGCTCATCCGACGACTCCAGGCCTTGTCCCCAGGGCAAGTCTGTCCCTGTCCCCAAAGCGCGCCCTCCAGAGCACCAATAGCCACTTGCTTTTGTTCCCCTCCCATCGCCCTGCCTGGCCTGGATGGGAGGTCTGGAAGCTGCAAGCCCGATTTCGATCTAGAAGAGCCTGGGAACCGCCTGGCGCCAGGTTTTTTTGTTTGTTTGGTTGGTTGGCTTTTTTTTTTTTTTTTTTTTTTTTTTTTTTTGAGACGCTGGCTGGCCGCTGGCACTGGGAGGCGGAGGGAGAGTTAGCCAGGAAGGCACTGGGAGGAGGCCGTGCCTTTGGGCAGAGTGGGTGCCTGACAGCTTTGAGCGAAAGGGGAGACTTGGAGCTCACAGAGAGAGTGGGGAGAGAACATTAGAGACAAACACAGCAGCGTTGGCGGACCGCTTGGAAGAGGAAAGATGTTTGAGCAAAATGCGCGTGTCCTTCCGGAATGCAGCCCTGTCTCAGGATGTAGGAAACCCGGAGAGCGCGCCTTCCCCAGTACTTCCCTCCACCGCCAGCAATCTCTGCGCGGCCAGAAGTCTCAATGCCAAGGCTAATTCCCTTCTTTTCTGTCTTTCTTTTATTTTATTTTTTCTTTTGTTTCCCTGGAGCAGACGAGGCTATGGAGGCTCCTAATCACCTCCTATACTTCAGCCCCAAGCTTTGGAGTCCGGAGAGAGCTCAGGGCATCCGATTCCATTCTGGATCCCTGAGGAGCAGAGATGGGGCGAGGGGGGGAGTTAAAGAGGGGGGAGCTGTCTATCCTTTTCCTCTTTCCTCCCCCAAGTCCTGTCTACCCAAGATTGAAATGGTGCATGAATAGAGTCAGACCTGTCCTTTAAGAAATCTTTCTTGCAATCCAACTCAATTCTGTTTGAAATACAAAGAAATCACACTGCCCTTATGGATTAAAATTTAATAAAACATATTAGTTCGGGTAAAATATGAATGCATTGCTTAAAATTTTAATAGAAAATGAAGAGACAGTGATTTCTCCCCCTTGGGATGGCTGCGGCTGCATTCGGGGTTGGGACCCCACTGCCCAGGAGTTTGAGTGGAATCTCCAGCAACTCCTCACCCACCTGGAGGGAAGTCGATCACCTCTGTTGGCCTCTGGCAGCAGATGGAATGGAGGCTATTGTCAAGCAGAGGGATGGCAAGAAGAATGGTGCCCCTCTCCTGGTCCCACAGTTTATCCATTTTTTCATTTCTGTGCTTTAAAAGTCACTTTTTTGTTGTTGTTGTTTTTGGTTTTGGTTTAGTAGGTGAGTCTGCAGGTGTGCAGAGACACCATTGCGGATAGGTGCTTGGGCATAAACGTGTATGTGGAGGTCTTATGAAGTAGATTTCAGATATTGGGCCATTTCCTTCCACCCCAGGAGTTTATTCCCAACTATCCAGTGCTGAAGAAGACCTCCCCCTCCCTGGGAAGCCAGGAGTCTTTCTTCATCGCTGAGCAGCTTCCGCACTTATGGAGCAGTTGGCAGCAATGCCTGTGGGCAAAATGAAAATGGGTTTTCTTGACATCACTGCAAATATGTTGGTATTCTGGACACTCCTGGAAGGAGTGATTGCACTACTGCAAGTCCTGGTGATGAAGAAAGTATTGCATTTCCCCACTAATGCAACACAATTACTGCTGCTCATTTTTCACTTTAGGTGAGAAAAAGGGAAATCTAACTCTGGGAGTTTTTTTTTTTTTTTTTAAGTGTGTTTTTTCAGGGGAAGGGAATATAAGGAAGTATACTCTTGAACCTCTCAACATCTACACATTTTTATCTCAACCTGATCATTAGCATGAAGAGCTTCATTTTTCCCCCCCTGCCTGGAATTTGAGATATCACTGAGAAACATCTGGGAGATTTTTTAAAATTATATTGAAATTAATTTAAGGCTATATGGGTTTTAGCCATCAGAAAATATTCTCTTGGAAGTTGTCCTGCTTCAAATAGTTTCAGTCAATAAATTCCATATCAAACAAAGTTTTTTTTCCAGTTATTTCAACAGTTCCCTCTTTATTTTACGAATTTATTATACTACCTTATTTACCATATGAAATGGTGACAAGTGTTTAGCATTTTGGAGATCAGTTGTCAGTTGCTATTAAAATCAAGATTAATTCATATTAACGATATGCATTTCTCAATACTCCCAGGTGACAACATACATTAAAACAACTATTGCAAGTAATTAAGCTCAATAAAGGAGGAGGGGACAGGGAGAGGTTCAAAACACCTCCAATATTTGATTTTGCAATCCAAGTTCAGCAGACTGTTGCCACAACAATGCTTGGGAAACTCCTCAGGGTTGCTTTTCACTTTACATCTAATTAGGCACCTAATGAAAGAGAAGAATTTTTTCCCCATGTGGTTTTTTCTCCTTAGAATTCCTTTTTTTCCTTAATTTTTTTTCTTAATCCCTTCATCTTTTTCACCCAGCCCTCCAATCTCCTTCCCTCTCACAGTCAGTCTGTTCTCTGTATCTATAAATCTGTTTCTATATTGTTAATTACTTTTGTTCATAAGATTCCACATATAAGTGAAATCACATGGCACTTGTCCTTCTCTGATTGGCTTAGTTCACATAGCATAATACTCTCCAGGTCCATCTATGCTGTCCCAAATGGTACAATTTTCTTCTTCTTCTTCTTTTTGTTTTTGTTGGTTTTACAGCTGAGTAGTATTCCATTGCATAAATGTACCACTGCTGTCTCATCCACTCATCTACTCATGGGCACTTGGACTGCTTCCAACTCTTGGCTATTGTAAATAATGCTGCAATGAACACAGAGGTGCATATATTCTTTTGAATCAAGGTTTCTTCAGATATATTCCCAGAATTGGAATAGCTGGGTCACAAGGCAGTTTTGTTTTTAATTTTTTGTTGTAAATCCATAGTTTTTTACAGTGGCTACACCAATATGAATTTCCATCAACAGTGCACCAGGGTTTCCCTTTCTCCATATTTTTGTCAGCACTTGGTGTTGGTTGATTTATTGATAGTAGCCATTCTGGCAGATGTGAGGTAATGCCTTTTATTGTAGTTCTAATTTGCATTTCCTTGATGATTAGTGATATTGAGCATCTTTTCATATGTCTATTTGGCCATCTATATATCCTCTTTGGCGAAGTGTCTATTCAGATTCTTTGCCCATTTTTTAATTGGACTGTGTGTGTGTGTGTGAGTGTGTGCAGGCGCGTGCGGAGTCTTCTTGGTATTCTTACACCTTAACTTAAACACACAGATTGTTTAGGAGATGCAATACCCAAAGTTTCTCCTGTGATTCACTTAGTATTGTAATCTGGGGAAACTAGGTAGATGCATATATTTGTCTTTCAATTACTATCTTCCTGCATTCTCATGAGCCATGATAACCTTACACAGAATTGATAGAAAACATACCCAAAATATTTTAATGGTTTTTTTTATTAGGCTTTAGAGATGCTCAACAGTTTATACTAATTAGACTATCCAAAACCTTTTGAAGATTAAGCAAATTGGACAACCCTTGTTAATTAGAACATAATTTAAAGTTTGAAATTATATCACTGATGAAGTAGTCTAATTAGTATGACAATATGTTAATGGGCAAGTGAGACACAGCAACAGTGGAGTTTGGTGTGAACCTCCTCTCTAAGGCTTGAACAAAAATCCTCCCTCCAATGCTGGCATTAATAAAAGATTTCTATAGACTTCAGCCTTTCTACGATGACATACAATTTATAGTACATACAATGTATTAGCCCATAGTGCTGCTCAATATTTTCACTATTATGAAAACTAATAAATTCGTCAAGCTGAATTAAGCATACAAATCAGATGAGGCATAGCAGATTACACAGTGAAGCGCGGTGTCTCCCGAGCCTAAATGAAATTTCAATCTAATAATTCCTTCCTGGCCCAGTGATAATTTGTTTAGAGATGTTGCTCTACTTCTTTCAAAGCGCTGTTCGCACTATAATTAAATGATACTCAAGCTTTTAACTTTGATTTATTTCATTTCTCGAAGCTTGAGACAGTGAGAGCTATACAATGTCATTTTTTTTTTTTTATTTCCTTGAAAATTACCGTGGCTGTTGTTGGTATAGAAATTAAACACCTAAAAATTTACTTGAACTGTCCCGGGCAAGCCACATTCATTTATGTCAACAACCCCTCTCCCATCCCATGTCCAGGCCGCTGGGTTCAGCTACTGAAGGTAGGAGGAATCCCCTTTGGCTACTCTTTACGTAGCCAAAGAAGGGAGGAGAAAGGCAAACCTGGGAGCAGCACAGGAAAGCGCAAGGGGCTTAAGGACCATGGACAGTTCCCATCGCCTGCAGTTAGCGGTGTCTTCCCAGGGCTGGCATGTACAATAGTAAGGTCTATGCTTCCAATTTGATCCTGCCTCCCGCCCCGCTGAGGTCAGGGGCCAACCGGCGACCCCCTTCTTGCTGCTGCCGCAGGGCTTCCGGGGGCTGACCACTCGATGGCCCCCCTTCGCCACGCTTCTTCCCACTGTTTTGTCCCAGCGCGCGCCAGCGCCTCCCAGGCCTGCCGCCTGCTCTCGCACCTGCTCGCCTTCCCCAGGCACTGTATGCCTGCACCTGCTCCCAGCCACCCCGTCCTGGCTGGGCCACCCGCCGGTTCCAGCGTAGGGACCTTCTCACCCTGGCCTGCACCCCGCTCCTTCTGCGCTCTGGGGAGGCGACAGCGGGCCCCCAACACCAAGGAAAAGTAGAGAGAAGGCACCAGAACGGGGAGGAGAGGAAGACTGTGGTGTGTGTGTGTGTGTGTGTGTGTGTGTGTGTGTGTGTGTAGGAGAGGCTGTCTCCTTCTTTTACAGTTGGAACAGTGTGTGTCCACTTCTAAGAAAAGTGGTACCCACTGGGACAAAAGTATTGGCTAAAAATAGTCTACCTCTTCACCGAGTGGCTGTGGAAATGAAGATAAGTGGGACTTGTGCCAGCCCCTGAGGGCGTGTGTGTCTCTGTGTGTGTGTGTGTGTGTGTGTGTGTGTGTCTGTGTGTGTTGGGATGTGTGTGGGGAGTTCAGCAGCACATGCGCTTTTTGATCTCTGGCCCTGCCTCTCCCTCTGTCATTTGCCCCTTCCTCCTTTGATGGTGGCTAATGAAGAATAATAAATCCAATGGCAGGGTTTGCCCATGGATCCGCCTAAGACCCAACTCACACTGAACTGGATACAGGGAGGAGGAGGAGAAAGATCCGCAGGAAAGAAAAGAGGGTGGAGAGGAGTGTGTGTCGGTGATGGTGCTGGGGGAGTACGCGGGGACAAGGGGCGGAGGGGGGAGTCGCATGCGCACAGGCGACCCGAGCCTGCTCAGAGGCCGTCCAATCCGCTGAGAGCGGAGACAAGCCGAGGGAGAGAAAGCCCTGAGCCCTGTCGACCCCCGTCTCTTGGGCACCAGGCACCCGCTGGGCCCAGGGGGCGCAGAGCAGATCACCCACCACTGCGCACATCGGACGGGAGCGCAGAGCAGCGCGGAGGAACCCGGTCCAGGGCAGCAGCATCCGGACCCACCAGGGTGGCCGGGAGCCTGGGTTCAGGGTCACCAGAGCTGCGGGGCGGGGCGGGCCAAGTGGGGGCGGAGGCATGGAACTTCGCGGTAAACAGGAGGTGGGGGAGACAGCCAGGTACGAGAGGCTCTTAGCAGTCTAGGGAAAACCCACTCCAGGTTGGCTTGGCCCGCAACTTTACTTAGGAGTTTCGTTTCCCTGTGAGGTAGGTAGGTCTCCAGGAGGGGCCGGAGCCCAGCTCCTAAGGAGGAACTGCCCCGGGAGGGACTGGAGTGTAGACCTGGCCAGGGGGTGGGGTGGAGAAGACACTAAGGTAAGTGGGAGCTGCGGGGCGCGCCGAGAAGGGGCGGTGGCATCGGAGCGGGCTGGAGCCCAAAGGGAAGGAAGGTGGAGGGCGCGGCAGGAGAGCAGGAGGCGGGTGTCTGGAGCTCTGAAAGGGCCGGAGCCTCGAAGGAGCACGGGCGGAGAAGAGAAGATAGACTCGAAAGAACGAACAGGGGAGGGCGGAGGCGCGCGGGAGGGCGGGCGGGAGGGGGTGCGGGGGCAGGCGCAGGGAGAGGGGAGTATAACTCCGCCGCCGAGAAGCTCGGGGGCAGTTTCGGGCGCCCAGGTCTGCAGCTAGCGCCTGGCAGAGCCTAGCCCCGGAGCAGACCGACGCCGGAGCCAGTGGAGGAGCGCGCAGCCGGGGCCAGAGGCGCCGAGCACGGAGCAGCGGAGGGTGAGCGCAACTTTGCACCGCCCGTCCCCGCGGCCGGCCGCGCTTGACCAGTGCTTCTCGGGAGGCTCCCGGCGGCAGCCGGGGTCACTTCTTGGCGCTCCGGACCTGCGCTCCGGCCGGCCGGGAAGATGATGATGATGTCCCTGAACAGCAAGCAGGCGTTCAGCATGCCGCACGGCGGCAGCCTGCACGTGGAGCCCAAGTACTCGGCCCTGCACAGCGCCTCTCCCGGCTCCTCGGCCCCCGCGGCGCCCGCGGCCAGCTCTCCCGGCAGCTCCAGCAACGCCGGCGGCAGCGGCGGCGGCGGCGGGGGCGGCGGAGGCCGGAGCAGCAGCTCCAGTAGCAGCGGCAGCGGCGGCGGCGGCGGTGGCGGCGGGGCTTCCGAGGCGATGCGGAGAGCGTGTCTTCCAACCCCACCGGTGCGTATTCCTGCATAATCACCGCTTAGAGGCACATTTTGACAGCCCCCTTTATCTGCTTGATGTTTTTTTCATGTCTGCACAGCAAATCACCCCACCACACCTCCCAACCAATTTCTCTCTCCCCCCCCCCTTTCTCTTATGTATTCAGCGGGTCTTTCCTTTCATATTAATTTTTATGACCTGGGATGTTGCCTGTGCGCGCGCCGTGTTGTGTTGTGTTGTGTTTTTTTGCAGGCTCACATTCCTCTTCCTCGTGCGCGCTCAGTTTTTCTCTGGGTGGCTTGCTGCCTCTCCTCCTCACCTGCAATTTTTTCAGGATCGTTAATCCTGTTGATACTAATTATTATTATTTTAACGTCCTGGGGATGTTGTAAGCGCGCCGGCAGCGGTGTGGAGAGGAGAAGGGCCGGGGCTTCCTTCCGGAGAGAGCGCGCGCACAATTCCCTGTTGAGCGTAATGTGTGCCTTTTACTTGCAATTGCAGAGCAATATATTCGGCGGGCTGGATGAGAGTCTGCTGGCCCGCGCCGAGGCTCTGGCGGCCGTGGACATCGTCTCCCAGAGCAAGAGCCACCACCACCACCACCCGCCCCACCACAGCCCCTTCAAGCCGGACGCCACCTACCACACCATGAACACCATCCCGTGCACGTCCTCCGCCTCCTCCTCGTCGGTGCCCATCTCGCACCCGTCCGCGCTGGCGGCGGCGGGCACGCACCACCACCATCACCACCACCACCATCACCACCACCAGCCGCACCAGGCGCTGGAGGGCGAGCTGCTGGAGCACCTGAGCCCCGGGCTGGCGCTGGGTGCCATGGCGGGCCCCGACGGCGCCGTGGTGTCCACGCCGGCTCACGCGCCGCACATGGCTACCATGAACCCCATGCACCAAGCGGCGCTCAGCATGGCCCACCCTCACGGGCTGCCCTCCCACATGGGCTGCATGAGCGATGTGGACGCAGACCCCCGAGACCTGGAGGCGTTCGCCGAGCGCTTCAAGCAGCGGCGCATCAAGCTGGGGGTGACCCAGGCGGACGTGGGCTCCGCGCTGGCCAACCTCAAGATCCCCGGCGTGGGCTCGCTCAGCCAGAGCACCATCTGCAGGTTCGAGTCCCTCACGCTGTCCCACAACAACATGATCGCGCTCAAGCCCATCCTGCAGGCGTGGCTCGAGGAGGCCGAGAAGTCCCACCGCGAGAAGCTCACCAAGCCCGAGCTCTTCAACGGCGCCGAGAAGAAGCGCAAGCGCACGTCCATCGCGGCGCCCGAGAAGCGCTCGCTGGAAGCCTACTTCGCCATCCAGCCGCGGCCCTCCTCCGAGAAGATCGCCGCCATCGCCGAGAAGCTGGACCTTAAGAAAAACGTGGTGCGAGTCTGGTTCTGCAACCAGAGGCAGAAACAGAAAAGAATGAAATATTCTGCGGGCATCTAGGAGAGACCCTTGGCCTCTCCAGGGACACAACCCCCTCCTCATCCCCTCTTCCCCCCCCCTCCCCTGCCTCTTTTCTTTCTTCGTTTGGCGACCAGAAAATAATTCCAGTCAATGTGAATCCACAGAAAAGTGGGGGATTGGAGAGGGAGCGCGCAGCTGAGCCGCAAGCCCCGGTGAGAATGTGAAACGGCAACTCCTGCGAGGAAAGAAAAACAAAAGAAGGGATTTGTCCAGTTGCAGCAAAGTTGTCCCTTTGAACCCCACCCCACCCCACCCCGGAAAAGGCACCTGGACTTCTGCGGAGGAAGTCTGGGAGCCGGCTATTTGCGGGAAGGCAGAAGAGATAGCCTTTTGAAAGGCCCTCCAGAATGATCAAGTAAGATTTGTTTTTATTCCTAAAGACATCACCCTTGCTCAAGTTTAAAAGTACACGTTGCAGCTATTTTTCAGAAATAGAAATTGATTCAGGACTGAAACTTTAAACTAGAGTTGATGCTTAATGTGACAGAGACATCTCTAAAGTATTTTGAATTTTAAAAAAAGATGGCAGATTTTCTGCATTTACACTGTATATTATATATATATTTTTATTGTGGTTCTTACCCCCCCTTCTTCCTTCTTTGAAGTGTTAATGCTTAAGAAAGGAGTTGCGCCTGCTGTGTTCACTGATCTTGAAAGCTATTATTAGATTATTGCCGCACAACCCTCTGTAAATTATTAATTTATCTCTCTGGCAACCTAATTTGTAAACATCCTAATTAATTAAACTTCTTTAGTCTTTAAAAATGGGGGGAATGTATGGCTAGTGAAGTTAAAAAATGTTTATGTTTGATGAGTCTACTGAATTTTTACAGTTTTCCTATTAACACTGTGTTTCTTTCAGCCCATTTGTATATGCTCACTTGGAATGAAGAATTTTTTTCTTTGTTTTTACTGGTAGTGTTCTGATTTGTGAGTTGACACTCAGTAATGGATGTCTTAATCGTGTAGACCTGATTCACTGTCCAAAGTATTGTTTACTTTGTTACATATTTAATGGGGGTTCCCACATTATCCCCACTGTACATGCTCTTACACACCCTTTTACACACACACACACACACACACACACACCTCTGATGGGAGAGAAGAAGTGAAGCTGTTGGAAACATGACTATAATGCATCATTTTCTAGCTTTAGGCGCATTTGCCACTTGGTGTTTGTTCTTCCAGATTCTCAGATTCCACCAAGGTATTTCAGTCTTCTGGTTTTCAATTGCTTTGTTAATTACATTTTAACATTTACAGGATTCCTTCCATTTTTCCTTTTGGAGGTTTGTTTGTAGAAAAACTAATTTGAACTTTAAGAAAGACAGTGCACTGCTTGTAAATTCACATTGTTTGGTAAAATTCTTTTGGAACAAAAAAAATGGGTACACGACGACTGGTACCTTATTTATTGTAAATATTTCATTCAAAATGATACACATATATTCTTACAAATTTTGCTGTATTGCTGTCCCATCTGAGGATCTCCAAATTCTTGAGTTCTGTATATGATCTGGTTTCTTGTTTTTGTTAATAGATGGTTTATTTACTATGGTAATGTATTATTTTTGGTGTTGTTTGATTGTCATTGAAGAGATGATTTTAATGTTTTATTGGCAAAGTATGCTGCTTTTTCATTAAAATGTGCTATTAAAATTAAACGGCTTTTAAAATGTGATGTTTTAAATCATTTACATTGGAATTATTTTGATAGGGAATTTTTTAAAGCAGAAACACATCTCATGGTTTATTATAGAGAAGCTGGTTAATTATTATCAAAGTCTGACTTGGATTTAGTAGGAAGTGTTTCTCTAGAAAAGTATAAAATGACGGGGTTTTCATGGCCTCCTAACAGTCAGAGCTCATCTCACAGGGTGCTCTGCCCAGTGGAGATGATGATATGTGACTCTAAATACCTCCTCAGAAAGTATTTAGAGTCACAGGTCCTTTCCCTGCATCTGCAATAATTCTGCAAAGAGATCTTTGTGAGCTGAGGTGTTGCATGAGTAAAAGGAAGAAAAGGACTCAGTCTGGTTTTTAGCAGCACTGGGAGACTGGGTATGTCAAGAGTCAAGACCTAGTTGTGGGGATAGGACACTCTGGTTGAGGCCTAAGGGTTGGTCCACCATAAGTCCTCAGTTTAGCTACCACTCCTGGGAAGCAATGCCCCCAAACTGGAGCAGGAAGTACAGTCTCTCTCTCTCTCTCTCTCTCTCTCTCTCTCTCTCTCTCTCTCTCCCCTCCCTTACTCCCTTCCTCCTTCCCATTTTCCCACACCTTTACTGAAAACCACATTCTACAATATGTAGAGTGGGATTGAGGAGCAAATTATTTCCTAGGTCGTTAGAAGGAGCAAACTATTGCCCCCTTTCTATGACTCACACAGATAATCAGAGTTGTTGGAAGTCTATCTAACAGTGGTCTGGCACAAAGAAATTTTGCATATTTGATACACAGACTTTTTTTGTGATCCTAGTTTAAAGATACCTCCTTACCCATTTTAACAAGTTTAAGACTACTTACAACAGTTGAGCAACATATTAGGGATTCAAATAGTCTACCCCTCCCTGCAGGAAAGCTCTGGTTTAGATACTTGCATTATTAATGATGAAACATCATACTAATCTATAAGTCCAACAAGAGAGGAAATAGGTCATCCTCCAGGGGTAATTCTGCTAACTTGAGCTGTGACCCTTCTAATATGGAATTGTCTGGGGATATTTCTTATTTTGAGGATGAGAAATATCCTAGGAGTCAATGAAAATTGTTATAGTGACTCAAGTTGGGGTTAAACGTTGTTGGAAAAATTATTGTGATTTTCAGATATAACAAAAAGAGTCGTAAAAGTTGTATGGGTAATGAGTAGAAGAATTTATCTTCCTGTATCTGAAATAAGGAGACACTTGAAGAAACCAAATCCACGTGTCCATTTCAAAATAATGGGATGCATTGCATAGATGCCTAAGAAAATTAAAAGTTGTGGGAATTTAAAAGAAAGAATTGTGAATTAAGATATAGTGATATCCATGGTTTAATATTAATCCTGTGTTTTGGAGTTTGAAAACTTCTTCTTCCATCTCATTCCCTATTCTTAGATTTAGTTTTTCTGAAAGTCTTAAAGCAGCCAATCTCCAATTTCACTGTGCTGGATACTGATTTCAGCACCACGGATAGCAGCCACATGACTGGGCCCTACTCCAGCATGTTTTGACCCAGCAGTTCTAGCCACCTGGGGAACTTTCTGCTTGCTTATTTTTTAATTTTTTAATTTTATTTTTTTGCAGAGTGAGTAAAATGAATTGGTTGAATATGTAGCAAATCAGGCTTGCTAACCTAGGATTAAAAATTGTCTTTAATAAATAGCCCCTTCTCCTTCCTAAATGTGACTGTTATCTAAGGGTCTAGAATGTGTGCATTAAGAGATAGGAAAGTCTGTTAGGGGGAAAAACAAGTGAGCTAGTTTTCTTTCTACAAATATGAAACCTTCAAATAAAGAGAGAAATCCAGTGGAAGTAGTATAAGTTGAGAAATATATTGAATAGAAAAGAAATAGGTTTCCTCTTTAATGCATTTTGAAGTACAAGGGTAACCACTCCCTCACCTCTCTTGCCTACAAGATGGAAGTTATATCCATTAATGAAGCCTGCTTAAATGTGTTTGCTTTACGGGGAGAGCAGAATTTTAGAAAAAAAATATATTCTGAAAGATTTTATTAATGAAACTTGCAGAGACATACCAAAACAAACCAAAAAGAGATTTGGGATGAAGAGAATTGTTCTTAAAGAAATGAAAGGTAAGGATAGAGTGAATAATGTATACACTGTTAAGAAATATCCATTTGATTTTGACTTTCAAAATACTCGGATAAATAGCAAATTAAGGCTGAAGATCTTTGTCATATCAATCAAATCCACTGGTATTCATAACTCTTTTTCTAACTTTATTTCCTCAAGGTTCATAATACTTTCTATCGGAAATTGATATTTATATATTGAATTAGCAATACACCTCAGTTTGATATTTCAGAATTTTGTAGTTTATTTTTAAAACTTCTTTAAGGCAAATGATTCAATCCTTTTGTCCCAAGTGATTATCCAAATCTAAATTAGAATGGAATAAATGACCAACAGCAAAGATCATGTAAGGCTTGATTGTTACCTAAGTACTTTCCACACCAATTGGATTACAATATTACCTAGAAAAATGCAGTTTCCTTTGGATATTTGACATTAAATCAGTTGGTCAATATTTTGTTAGACTAAGTTTCATTGACAGATAAACTTGGGAAAAAACAGAACTATGCAAAAGCAAATAAAAAAAGATTTATATTCAATGAAATACTCTCCTGTTTTTCTATAAAATGCATTTTAAAATAAATAACAAAACATAACTAAATCTTTTCTCAGTAAAAGACAGATTCTGAGACCTCTCTCTGCCAATAGAATTAGAATTTGTAGGGTAAACATACTTTATTTCAAACTTAAAATGAATACATCACTTTCAATGTATTTGTTTGGGACTCTCTGAGGAAATGGCTGAAAAGGCATTAAATTTTTAACTTGATTTTAAAAGACATGTTAATAAAAAAAAATAAAGCTCAAAATATTCTAGGAAAGCCATGACAGTAAGTTTAGAAATTCATCTTTTCAATTATTTGTTGAAAATAATTTATATCTCCACGTATAAATGGTTTACATTAGAAGTCAAAACATCATGCACTTAACTTTGCAGTTGGCTTGGAGGGAGGGGCTGCTACAGAAGGAAAAAAGTTGTATCCTGATGGAACATCAAGAAAGACAAAGGTTCCAGATGAGTATGATAGAAATGCTCCTGAAGTCTATATTTGTCAGGGGACAGATTTATGGCAATGAGGGGGGAAAAAAAAATCACTGATTTTTTCCCTGCTTTGCCCCTTTAAGAGAGCCATTCCCAGTACTGAAAGGCTATTATGAGCAAATTAATAAATTACACAGCAAATTATTAAATCCAGATAATTACAAGGAATAAGTAAGTAATCATTAGTTATCTCAGCTAATTACTGCGGGTCAGAGCCAGCCAGAATGTGAAATCCTCCTCGGGAATTGAAATTAACTTTGCACAGTGAGTCTCTCTGCTTGACATCCCCAGTCTGTAGGCACATGGCAGCTCCCTTGTGAGCCAGTCTTTCTATTTAACTTGGAGAGAATAGAAATAAAATTAAGTGGCGATGTGATAATAGGAAGCTGCTCAGAAAGCAAACTGTGGGTTTTATTCTGTGCGTTCGATGCCTAGAGATGAAAAGCTTTGTTTACACCAGTTTCGAAAAAAATTTAAAGCACCCTTGTTGAACCGGGCTCCCTGCACACACACACACACACACACACACACACACACACACACATCTACAGTCCATAGTTCTTTGGTGTGACAGTTTAGCAGCACATGAAGGCTCAAAAAGAGCAAAAGGGTTTTTTTTTTTTTTTTTTTTTTGAGGTATGTGTGATGGGGGTGGCAGTGAGAAAGATAAATAAAATAAAATATTACTCTGCTTTCATCCCACACCGTTGGAAAGGCTGTAGAAAGTGCAGCCGGGTTTAATAATCTGTTTGTTTTGTTTGGGTAACAATATGCTTTCATCTTGCCACAGGAAGAACCAGCTCAGTGCAAATGTTGTCTGTCGTTGATCTTTCGCCAGATGCTTCAAGAACTGATGTCACCTTTATTTTTTTTTTCATATACCATTACTTTCTGAAGCTAGCCTCCAGTACTCTGTCTCCCTTCACTCCCCCCCACCCCACCCCAGGCCTTCTCAAAGGGCAGAAAAGACAGCCAAACCCCATGCCCGTTAGAAAGTAGAAAATGTGTCTGTGTGATAAAGTGATGATGTGTACCATAGGGCTGGGGAAGAGTGGACATAAGAAGAAAACTGCTGTTAATATATTAAAATGAGGGGGGAATCTAAAAGCTTTTTTTTTAATCAATTGCAATTAGATGGACAGTCTTTCCACTCATTCCCTGCTCTAGTCTGGGATGATAATAAAAATTTAATGAAGCCTGGGACGAGCAGAGAGCTCTGCCTAGGGACCCCGGAATAGAATATTTTAACTGTACATTTATACCCACTGTCTGGCTTCAAAGACGTGACTGCTTTTAATCTCGAATTAGAAAACCACAGACTTGAAATTAAATATTAGATCTCCTCGATCCCCCTTGCTTTCTGAAATACTGTCACGACTCTGTTTTCCTCCACTGGCCTGTGACACACATATCTTAGGTCTCCAATTACATTTCCGTGAATAATAGATGGCTTTGATAGGGTGCAGGATTCTGGTGCTTGTGTGTGTGTGTGTGTGTGTGTGTGTGTGTGTGTGTGTGTGTGTTTTAAAAAAATAGAGTTAATGCAATATTAATTGGCTGTCGAGGTTATAAGAATGCACAGGCCCCCCTTCAGGAACCAATCAATGAGACAGGGGTGTTAGAGAGAGCAAAGGGGAAGGCCTTCCCCCAGCCTAGGTCACTGCTTTGTGGAGGGGACCTTCTTAGCGCTTTGGGTAAGTGAAGGGCGCTGTGGATTCCATGGCTCTGGCAGCACTGGCTGGGCAGCCTGGAGGGGGGACGACGGGTGAGGGCAGAGCTACAGAAAGGGAAGAGTGTGAGAAGCTGGCGAGGGGACAGGGATCCAGCCGCCGGATCC